GGAGATCCGGACGCCCACCCTGGACAGGCTCGCCGCCGAGGGCGTGAAGCTGGAGAACTACTACGTCCAGCCCATCTGCACGCCGTCCAGGAGCCAGTTCATCACCGGAAAGTAAGTGTTCCTGGCGCGTGGGCTTATTCCCTGGGGAAATCGTAAGCATTTAACTAAGACCCAGCTCCTGATGTAGGGGAGTAACAGAAAATGTGGGGAACGAATGCATGAATGCATGAATGAATGAATGAAGAGGTTATGTGAGTATTAATGACCCCAGCCTCACCAGTCTGGTTCTGTGCTGCGCAGCTGGGAGGCTAGGAGGCCGGGGGCCAGCTGTCAGGACTTGGAAACTCACCCACCGCCGACCAGATGGGGTCTCCGTCTCCTTTCCCAAATCTAGTTTGGCTCTGGGCATGCTCAGATTGAGTTTCCCATGTCACATAGAACTCACAGCCACCACCGCCGACAAGAAATACAGACCAGCATTCTTCTGCAGTCTTGGTTTGTGTCTAGAATTGAATACTGAAAGCCACAGGTCATCACAGAGGGAGGGGCCCAAGGAAGGGCAGTGTAAGCTTTGGTGTCCCTACAGCTCTGTTGGGTCTTTGATAGGACACCTTCTCTCCCTGAACCTAAGGAAGGCCCTACGTGGTTACCAGGGCAGCTCTCAAAATGCAAGGAGACTCACTGTGAACACCTGATGGGGGCCAAACGCCCTCTGAGGTTTTCTGCTGCTCCTCATATGCCTGGGGATTTCCTTATTAACTCTAAGAAAAATGAGATTAGGATGCTGAAGTAAAGTTTTTCACTAGGATCGTAACCGATTTGGAAGCTGAGTTCCAGGGTCCAGCCACCGGTGGGCAGAGGCAGAGGGAGCCTCGACGCCTCAGTGTGTGTCTCCTGGCTTCAGTTTCAAGGAACCCTCACTGCAGTGAAGTTGTTCTTGGAATTGGATCCTACCAGGGTAGCCAGTCTCCACTGGAAAAATAAAGACTATTTTGTAGGAATCTCTGTCTTGCAGACACTTTTGCTTACAGCATGATTTCCACTGCTTAGCAAACTGTCAGAATTCAGCATCACTGCCAGAAAAGAAACATGCCTCCTTTCCTCTCTCTCGAGGAGAAAGAAGCCTCACTGTCCTGCAGGGTCCTGTTAAAGGTTAGCCGTGGCAGAGTCCAGGGCATGTGATGTTTATAAAGGAATAGATTGTTGGCTGCAAATGGCAAGTCCATGTGGTGGCCTGGAGGTCAAGTTCCCACGCTGAACCCCAGCCACTGTTGCTTGGTTTATGAAATAAATGTGTCATAAAGACTCACGGAGCCCGGCCGGGCGTGGCTCAGCGGTTGAGCGTCGACCTAGGATCCAGGTGATCAGGGTTCGATTCCCGGTCGGGGCACATGCCCAGGTTGCGGGCTCGATCCCCAGTGACTCTCTCATCATTGGTGTTTCTGTCTCTCTCTCCCTCTGCTGCCCTCTCTCTGAAATCAATAAAGATATATATAAAAAAAAAAACAAAAGATTCATGGAGCCTCTTCAGCTAATCTCAGAATTTACATTTACACAGAGAGCCACGGTGCTTGAACAATATGTAACTGAATTATATGAACTGATCTTTCCAATAGAGCACGTGGAAGGCTGTGCATTAAACACTTGGTTCCTACCCATCACCCTGCACTGACAGATATCTGGGGTTTTCTTTTAATGTTTCTGTTGACTTAGTGGCATGAGACAGAAATGAAGCTGGAAATTTCTCTCACATCAGAGGTTGACTCTCCTGTTCTTTCAGTGCAGCTGAGCATCTTGCAAGATTTATTCTATGAAATGTCTGTTCAGTACAGCTCGAGGTTGCTCCGAGAGGCGACTGGAACTTCTGTCTGAATTGCACAGTTAGGGACATTGGCACTTGCAGTCAGTCCCCTCTTGACAAACTGCTGGGACTTCCCTTTGAAGGATGTCACACAGACGTGACAAAGACAGTGGTTCTGGACCTGGTTCCAGGCCTCGCACAGGATTAATAATGCAGAGCCCAGAGCACCTGCTCACAGGTCCTCCTCCATGGGAACAAGCCATGGATCCTGGATCCTCTAAAGTAAAAAAAGAAGCAGCAATGAAAACCTAAACAGGATGAATTATTTTAAAGGAAAAACTAGATTATATGAAATATGAGAGGATTCAGATATCTTCACATTTGTAAAGAAAGAGTTTAAATGGTTGAAGCTGAAGCTATTTTTGATACTCTTAACAAAACATCCCTCCCTTGACGTTTTGCTGGAGTCAAAATGTAAAAATCTATTCCCTCCTACTGCACAGACCTGTAATGAGTTCCAGATTCTTGCGTAATTTGCATCAGGCTCCCCTGGCAGTGCTGAACTTCGGTGCCTGTGCATACATACTGGCCTGGGCAGCTCCCTGCATGGACCTTCGAGGAACAAACAAGGGGGGCCTAGTCCCTGGGCAGTGGCTCTCAAATCTGCATGTACAAAATGAATCAGCCAAAGTGCTAGTTAAAGTGCAGTTTCTAGGCCCAGCCAGGGATTCTAGGCCATTGGTCTGGGGTTGAATCCAGAAATCAATAGTAATTTAATAAGCATTCAAGGTTATTCTGATATTGCCGTAACGTGAATTAAGAGCTTTGGAGTTAAATGCTAGCGTCTACTTAACAGTGACTGTGTTTCCAATGAATGCATTTTTATCTCATTTAATCTTTACACCAACTCTGTGAGGTGCTGCTGTCACCCCATTGTATATGGATGTGGCAGCAATGCAGGGGTTCCACACCCGGACTTTGAGAAGCATCACTCTCGGTGCCCAGTCAGCCTGGTGACATGAAGTTGACTGAGAAAGTGGCTGCCTACGTTGGATTTTTTGCAAAGTAATTTTCTGTCTTTTTTACAGTGTTTCAAAGGAAGACAGACATTCATGTCGGACACTTGGGTTGTTTCCAGTGTTGGGCCACAATCATGTCTTCCTTTGAAAAACTGTAAAAAATAGTGAAGGCTTCAGAAAGAATAAGTTTTGCAAAATATAGACACACGTTTTATGCAGACTTTAGAAAACATTGGCAATCTGAACTGAACTTATATATTGGGCAATAATTTTGTGTTTTAAGTATTTTGTTATTAATTTTCCCCACTTGAAATACTATGATGATCATTTTTAACCATGGAAAAGGTAACTCAAGTAGCACATATTTGTAATAGGATCTGGGATAAACCCATTTCTCTTATAACAACCCCTGCCTCTCCCAACTCCTAACAGCTTAGATTAGTTTTGCTGGGGTTTGAACCTTGTGTCAATGCAATTATGGGGAGGGGACTCTCTCACATCTGCTTATTTCTCTCAACATTATGTTTGTAAAATTTATCCATGTTGTTGCCTGTAGATATAATTCATTTATCTCATTACTGAGTGGTGGTGTTTGGTATTAATATACTGCAATTTATTCATCCAGCCTCCTGCTGATGGGCACTTGGGTTGTTTCCAGGGTTAAGCCACAAGAACAGCTCTGCTATAAACATACTTATGCACGTGTTTTGGTGAACATATGTGTACATTTCCTTGGCTGTCCGGAATTGGGTTGCTGGGTTACAGGGTGTGCACATGCAGTTTTCGTAGGCATGCCGACAGTTACTGAAGGTGGTCCACCAGCAACATGGGGAAAGTCCTGCCTGCTGCACACCTGCTGGGCATTGGCCCTGCCGCTAGCAGTTTGTCATTCTAGTTCCATTACGATTACGATTTAAATCTGCACAGCCCTGGCAACAGATGGATTTCAGTACCTTTGCCTATTCATAGGGACTATCGGGTATCCCCTTTAAGAGGAAGCTAACCTCCCATTAGGGCAGCGATTTCCAACCAGTGCACCTTAAGAATGTTTTAAACATGCAATACCTGACTATTCAGTCAGGGACACTGACTGCGTTTCCCCTAGATTGTCAAATACAAAATGACAACAGCCAACACAATAGCCATCCCGTATAAGTCAACCAAAATTGTAACTATTTTTTGTCAGATTAGCAAAAGCTATATTTTTGGTGTGCCATAGAATTTTAGTCATTAATTTGTGTGCTGTGAGATGAAAAGGGCTGGAAATCGCTTTACCAGGTGACTGTTTCTCCTTGTTGGCTCCTGGTTATTTCTGTGTCCTGCTCCTCTGCTGGGTGTGTGTTACAATGCCTCCTGCTCTGCACCTTGCTCTCTCACTCTCTGAACAGTGGTTTCTGATTCCCAGAAGGTTTTGTGTTTTTTGTAGTCTTATGTATTAACTTTTCTCCTATACTTCTATTGACGGTATCTTTGACTAAATCAAGACGATGACAATGGCCCCTTTCTCTAAAAGGTGCATTGTTTCATTTTTATATTCAGGTCTGTAACTCACCTGGAACTAATTTCTAGTGTGGTATAAGTCAGAGTTCAAGATTATTTTCCAGGGAGATTCCAAGATGGCAGCAGATTGAGTGGAAGCTACACTGGCACTCTCCCAGGACCAAACTGCAATTACAACTAAAATAGAAAAAAAAAAAAATCCTGAATAATTAACTGTAACTGAAGATGAGCTGGAGAGCACCCTCATAACCACATAGAGACTGGTAGAAAGTGCAGAAGTGTGAGAGGGCTGGATGGGCTCCTGCAGGCAGCAGCTGAAGGTCTGGAGGGATAGCTCAGCTGTGGGGGTTCCCACTGAGGACTCTGGGGCCTAAAATGCAGGCTGGGCTCCCCAACCCAGAACATCAGAACTGAGAAAGGTGCCCACATACCATCTGGCTGTGAAAAGCAGCTGGATGGCTGTCTGCCAGGGAGAGGAGGCTGGAAATGCAGGCACCCCCTTAAAGAGGCAACACAGAGTTTCGTGTGCAGCCACTCACCTTGGGTTCCAGCAGAGGGAGGGCAGAGTGGACTGGAGCTGTGTGAGGAGACTCCAGGGTTGCTGGTTCTGGGGATAGAGCTCAGAGGGTGTCTCCAGCACAGCAGCTCTTTGGCTGTAGTTACAGCTGGTCCTCACAGCCAGCTGGCCTGGGGATCAATTCCTCCTAGTGACACCAACAGCAACCAAGGCTCAACTACAACAGGACAGTGCACACAGCCCACACAGGAGCACCTAGAAGCCCAGCTCAGGT